TCGCTTAGCAATGGGGTTTTGGCATTCACCAGAGCGATTGCTTAGCGATGGCACCTATGGGGAAAAATCGCTTTGTGATGATCGTGGGGAAGCGATCATCGCAAAGCCCCCATTTTCGGCCAGCTGATCGGCGGTTCCAAAATGGCCGTCGGAAAAACAAAACGTCCGCCCGCTGTTTTGCCTCACTTTAGAGGCACCGAAAATGGCTGCCCTTATGGAGGATCTTCGCATAAGGTCAGTTTTGAAGCCCATAGGAATGCATTAAACACATTTTAATGTGTTTCTATGGGCTTTTTTATTCCGTTTAGCGATGAACCGCTTAGCAACGTTTTTCCTGGAACGGATTAACGCAGTGGTGTCGAACTGTGGCCCTCCAGATGTTCTTGGACTTCAACTCCCAGAAGCCTTCACCACCACCTCTGCTGGCCAGGAATTCTGGGAGTTGAAGGCCAAGAACATCTGGAGGGCCACAGTTCGACACCACTGGATTAACGTCACTAAGCAAGGCACCACTGTATTTAATTGATTTTAATGGTTTTTTAACATGGTTTTTATTTGCTTTTATGATTTCCTGATGAAATTTAATTTTTTGCTTCTTCCTGTTCTTTTTTGAAGATTGTAAGTTATTTGTTAAAATCACTCTAGAAGTATTTTGAGTAGAAGAAAGGAAAAAAAGGATATTACAGCTGTGATCAGTAGTTACAAACAGAAGAATAAAAGGAAGCTTGCAGTCTCGACATGCAGGAGAAACTGCCTCCGTGACTGCATGGTCAGAAAGGTCTAAGGAAGAGTGAGCGAGCAAATAAATGCAAGCAGGACAAACAAGAAGAGAAGGGTCTGAAGGGGCTTCTCTCAGATGCTAGAGGTGGGAAAAAGGACTCTGGTGATTGGTTAGTGGCACAAAGCTTATGAAAACTCTTCCACCAACACCCAGTGGTAATTGCATGCAAGATTGTTATTATCCCAGAAGAAATTAGTCTGGTTTCCTCCTAATTTTTTGCACCAGCAGAGAAATACTTTTTTTAAATTTGGGTGTTTTGACAATAAGTTTACTTCTAATAGGTAACCACTTTATTTGATGTGCTCTTAAAGTGCCTTAAATTTAGTTTTGTTTTAATGTTGTCATTTGATTTGTTTCCTAATGTGTAATGTTTTTATCTACATCTTCTAAAAGTTGTTGTGAGCTGCCTTGGTTCCCAGTTTAAAAAGATAAGTGGGATAGTAATCAAATCAACAAGCAGGGAAGCTTAAACTAGACAGGACAGTACTCCTTGTGAGTTGAGGGGTAGATCAAGGTATAGGAATTTAATATATCTTTGGTCTGGTTACAGTTCCCTTGAAGATTATAGCTTGGATGTACTCCTGGATTCATCCCCCAAACTTAGTTGCTCTGGAACTCCCCATCAGGGGAAGCTAGCTTGGCTCCTCCTTTCTTGTCCTGCTGCTGTTAGACAAAGATGGCTTTTATTTAAAGTAGTCTTGTATAAGTTCTGTTGCTGTTGTCCTTGTTATGTCCTTTTATCTTTTTTCCCAATGCATTTTCCTTTTTTTAAGTCTTGTAAGTTTTTTGAGTGATAAATTGTGTCAAAAAGATAATTTAATACATTGTATGTTTATCCATTTGCATATTTTACATGCAAATCTTACAAGAGGGAATCTGAAACAACAGGATGTTTCCATAGATGAAATAATATTGAAACCAGAACTGTAAACTATAATCTACAAATTAATTTAGATACCCTGACATTTCCTTGCAAAAAAGAAAAAAGAAAAATAGAAAAAGCCCCAATTTTCCATTCTACCATAAGGCCTGAAATTATGTGATCTTTCAGGCCTTAGGGTAGAATAGAAAGTTGGGGCGTTATGTGCAAGAAATTTTCAGGGCATCTAAATTCATTTGTTGTTTTAGTCGAATACAATCAGATGCAAGGTAAATCTGAGTATACAGTAATAAGTTAGGCCTCACTCTTTGCCCTTGGATTTCTTGTTTAATATTTCCAAGGGGGTAGCTATGTTCATCTGTTGCAGCAAAAACAATAGAGTGGTTCTGTGCATATATAACCAGAAACAGTGTACATATAAACATCTAGCTTAAAGATTGTACACTGTGGATCTAAGGAGATGGGCTGTATTTATGAAAGGACGAGAGACCGTGGTATCTGGTCAGACTGTTCATGGTTGACAAACTGGGGCATTGAACTCTATAACATAAGGTAATTCACAAATGAATTTGGAGAACACAGTGCAAGTGGAATTGCTAGGGCTTCTCACCCACTCATCTGTGACAAGAGAAAAATGCTACTTGATGAGCCACAGCTCCCTGCCTCCTTACCCTCCGACTGTCTCTCTCTCTCTCATCCTGCAGTCCTCCCCTCCCCCCTCCCATTGCAAAAGGAAAACAGCCCTCTTCACTCGAGAAGAGAGTTCGAGCAGCACATAGATATATAGCTCTGCAGGAGACTGTAGAGTAATCCATGCTGTCGAATATGGAGATTCCCTGCTCCCAATTTCAACTGAATGAGGACACATCCTGGAGTGAGAGGGAACCGTGACTCCTTAAGAGGATGGATGCTTTTGCTTTCGGTTTTATTTTTGGTGGAAACATTTAAAAATTAAAACGGGGAACACACAGCTTCCAAAATTACTATGTCCTAAGTAGAAACTCCTGGCCTGGTGAATCCTGTCAATTGTTTGCTCATGTGTGAGGGGTAAAGAAAAGGTCCAAAAATCTGTTTAATTTTTTTTAAAAAACAATCTCTTATGTTAAGATCAGAGAACAATGAAAACTGTACAGTACAAGGTGCCCCGCAATTACCATATGTTTCTAGTGCTGCGTCTACAGTTGAGAGTTAAAAAAGTGGAAAAAGAAAAAATCTGTTAAAGTGGAAGGAGGAGTTTAAATTGTTAGAGTATAATGTTGAGAGTGGTATTGCAAGATGTTCAGTGTGTCCACAGTTCAAAAGATTGTGCGATTCATCTTCATGTGTCAATGGATTCAAACAACAACTTCGTCACGAGACTTTCGAGTTTCACAATTTTTCAGCTCCACACATGAGGTGCATGGAAGCATTAGATGTTCAAAAATGCCCAGAAAATTCTTCCTTGGCAAAGTGTCTAAAAAGTATGGACGGAAAAAAGTTCTTTCATTTAGAAGTATTATTTAATATAAGTTTTTGTATTGCCCCAAACAATAAGCCCTTTACTGATATTAGAGGTCTTGCCGAGCTTGTAGGTAAACTTAATGTGGAAGTGCTAGAAGAACATACCAATAATAAACAGTGTAAGAAGTTTATACATTACATTGCACAAATTGTGAAAGAAGATGTTGTTGCTGACATAAAAGCCTCAGAATTTGTTTCTGTGTTACTAGATGGTTCCACTGATAGATCTGATGTGGAGGAATGTATCATTTATGTTAGGTATATAAATGCTAGTGGTGTCAAGGAATCATATTTAGCTATTGTGCTCCCTTAGCAAATAGCACTGCCTCAGGCTACCTAGACACCATAGACAAGGAACTCCAAAGAGTGAACTTGGATTGGAGACATGGAACATGTTTAGTTGGTCTGGCAACTGATGGAGCACCTTTGAGGATAGGGGGTGTTAATGTTTTGACAACTAAAATTACCAATTGTGCAAGGCATATCACAACTCTTCATTGTGTTGCACACAGACTTCAGCTAGGTGTGCTGAAGTCACTTAAAGGGGTATCTTATATTGATGAAATTGACCATTGCCTAATTTCTGTGTACAAATTCTACAACAGGTTCAATAAAAAGCAAAAGCAGTTGTCAGAAACAGTAGAAGTTCTGTCAACAAAACTGCTGAAATTGCAGAATTTGTATACAGTATGTTGGTTAGCTAGCAAAGTGGGACTATCAAAGCTATCATTGAAGACTGGAGATCTCTTGTGACACACGTTGAAAATGTGAGTTGTGGGAAGGAGAGCGACAGCAACAAAGCTAAAGGCATTCTGAAGACCCTTAAAAAGTACAGATTCTTAAGAACTTTGCATTTTCTCCATGATTTTTTGTTGCCTTTGAAAAAACTGACTTTTCTGCTAATAAATCAAGTGCAGATTCATATCAAGAAAACAATAGCCAGTCTTGAAGAACTGAAAAAAACTCCAGGACCTATGTAGATTGAATTTATAAACAATACTTCAGTGACTGGGATCTACAGTGGTGCCTCGCAAGACGAGCGCCCCGTTTAACAACGAAATTGCATTATGATGAACTTTTTGCGATTGCAAAAGTGATCGCAAAGCGATGTTTCCTATGGGGGAATTCCTGCTTCGGGAACCGATTCTCGCAAAACGACAATTTTTAGCCAGCTGATCGGCGGTTTCAAAAGGCTGCTGGGTAAAAAAAAATGGCTCCCCGCTCTTTTCTGGGACGGATTCCTCGCTGCACAGGCAGCGAAAATGGCCGTGCTATGGAGGATCTTCACTGGACGGTGAGTTTCAAGCCCATAGGAACACATTAATCGGGTTTTAATGCGTTTCTATGGGCTTCTTTATTTCACATTATTACGTTTTCGCTCTACAGCGATTTCGCTGGAACGAATTAACGTCGTAATGCGAGGCACCACTGTACAATGAAATCCAGCTTGATGAAATTACAAAGGAACAAAAGAAGTTTGTGATAGAAAAATTTTTGAGATGGGAATGGCTGACATAAAGATGCGCTTTTTGAACACTGCTACAGATGGCATATTAACATCTATGTCAATATTTGATACTTTCACATGGCCAGAACCGTCCTTGGAAAGTTTCGGTTAGAAGTAACTTTACTTGTATCTCATTACAAAGACCTTTTGCAACACAAGGGCAAAGAAGACATAATTCAGAAAGCCCTGGATGAATGGTATGAATTCAAAATATGTGCATAAGGTCTGTCTTCAGTGGATTTATTGGGAAAGGCAGTGAATCACCATGGGGTGTAGGTTTCCTGTTCTTCTGAAGCTTCTTAAAATTGCCTCTGTTCTATCTGTTTCTACAGTTAGCTGTGAAAGGGGTTTCAGCCAGATGAATCTGATCAAAAATAAATTCAGATCGTGTTTAGAGAATGAAAGCTTAGATGTCCTTATGTTGATGAATCTAAATGGACCTCCACTACCACGGTTTAACCCTACTAAAGCCATCGATAAATGGAACTTCAGTGCTAAAACTACCAAGCATGTTCAAGGACACAAGTGCAACCCCTCTGACAGCAGTGCATTTTCTACTAAGAAGACATAGGCGAATACCATGTACGTAATACAATTTATTTTGGTTTGTACGCATTGTTACATAGAAATAAAAGTGAACAAGTGCTCCGTTTAAATTTGTTAACATAAATTGCAAAGCTATAGTCTGGTCATGGTGACTAGTGAGACTTTCTAAAAATTTTCAAGCCCTGAGAATTGTTATATGCTGCTTTATTTGTTTTGTTACAGCTGGAAGCTGGTGTTTGTGCAAACTTGATGTCTGTTAAAAGAAACCTGATTTTTAAAAAAGAACTTTATGAGTGGGCTTGAAAGCTAAGCACGTCAACATCTTAAACCTAAGCAATACGGTTTAATGACTTCAACCTTTAAAAATGACTCCTCTGCCTTATGATTTTAAGCTGGCAATTTTCATGCCATGTAAAATTTAATGGGGTCTTCTTTATTTGGCTGTTGTCATGGCAAATATTTTGGCTCCATATTGCCAATATGGGTGGGAGCACCTGCCTCTTTCATATTGTATGAAACATCTTACATTTGTTTTTGTTGTTGTTCCTTTGAAGGGCTTGATTACTTCTTTATTTCTTCTCTTTAGCACAGTTGCAACTTTATAAGTAAGATTTTTGTTGTCTGATGTAACTCTAACCCATTCATACAGTTTGCTTTGCCAACAGGAGCAGTTGCAACTTTTGTTTCTATAGCATATCAGGTATTACACTTGGACCAAATTATTATTTTATGACTCTTAAACTCAATTGTATAGTTTTTCTAGTAAAATAGCATGCCTGTGATAGTTGAGACTAACAGTTTGATATAATCCTTTGTAGGAATCTGATGAATAGTATAAGAGAGAGGGGCTAGTTAGTACATAAAGGAAAATATTTGAAAATGATGAGAATTATATTAAAAATATAAAAATATTATATTAAATATTGTATTTTGTTCACAGGTAATTAAAAGAGCAATCCTGAGTGCTAGTTAAGAGATCAAGTATTGTGATCTCAGAATAATTCTCCAGAAAACAAACTGGTTTGTTTCTATGGGAAGTTTTAATCGGGTTCCTTCTGAGGGAGTGTCACAAGAGAAGCCCTTGGTTTTGCAGATCATTTTCTTAACTGTCTGTGTCTACAATGGTATAAATATTTTTGCGGTAGTGTTGTAATTGCTAGGTCTTTGTTGATCTTTCTGTCATGTGAAAGACATCTCTTGGTGTGGCGTCCATGTGCAGGTGATGATGGATGTGTGAGGTCTTTCATATTTTCTGCTGAATGTTTTTAAGACAGAGATGTGCTTTTTTAAAAATTCTACCTACCTATTCCTGCACACAATATCCTAATGGACCCGCTTCCCTTGATTTTAATTTGGGAAAATGTTCTTATTTGAGTGAGTGTGTGATGTCAAATTGTTAAGCATGATCCCTCTTTTAAAGCACTGCTGGCAGTGTAAATGTAAACCAGCAGTGCAATTTAAAGTCCAAAAACAGTTTGCCAGTGGAGGGAGTATAGTCCTTCCGGTGTGTTTATTTGCAAAGTTGGCACATAAAGGTATTTGTGTTATTCCCTTGCTTTGGCACTTCACCAGTTTTTAACTGTAGCCAAGTTTCAGTATATTTCCTGGAGGAACATGGATGTTTAATAATAGATATATGTTATGTCTTTTTTCTAGACAATGAATGATAAAATGAATTTGACCAAACTCCGGGAGGCAGTGGAAGACAGGAGGGCCTGGCGTGCTCTGGTCCATGGAGTCACGAAGAGTCGGACACGACTTAACGACTAAACAACAACAATGATAAATGCCTTGTCATAGTCTAATTAGTGTGAATCATAAGTCAACATTAGTAATGAAAGCCAGTTCATTTCCTTTCAATACCGTGAAAACATGTTAGGATGGGTTCTTTTTCCTGTAGAGTAAGACATGCTGTTCTAGTGCTATGGTTAGGCAATCCTGAATAGTGATCTTACACAAGTGTTTCAAATTGTTTTTGTAACTTTAACAGTCCTACTGCTGTGATCTTTATAGAACAAAGGAATTTATGAATTTGTGCTCTTCTTATTAAATGACAACAGGGAGATGAGATCAGCCAATACAAACTGGATGTCTTCCAGATGTCCACTGTGTGACTGGAAGGGTACAGAACAGTCCTTCCGTAATTCTGGAATCCAAAAAATAAAGAATGCTGCAGCATGAATTTTGGCTGTGCCTCATATTTGTATCAGCTCATATATTTGAGAATGTTATGACATGTTAGGATAGTTAATTTGAACAGAAGCTGATCAAGAGCCATCTCTACTACCAGCATCAACTCAAAACAGTCTACAGTGCTCAAAGACAGTAGTTGGGAGAAAGCAACTGATGTTAGGAGATAAAGGCAATGAAGAACAAAAAAAGCTGAAGAAGATAAGTGCGCTAAAAGAATAAAACATGGAAGAACAGTGTTAGATATTTTTCGATTTGAAACAACGTGTGGTTGTGATGAAGAGGTTCTTGGCCTACTTTGAAATGGTGTATGTCAGGAGGGGGATACCATAGAGGAGGGATTTCCCCCCCTGGACTCAAGGCTTCCCCACCTGGTATGCAGGATCACAGCCCGGTTTGGGCTAGAATGATGTTAAGTTCATTCTTTCCACATAATTTCTGCTTTGAGTATTTAATATTGCATTTACTTGTTGGTTTTCCCTTTTTTTGTGAACTGGCTGAAGAGCCCTTGTGGTATACACCAGTGGTTCTTAACGTGGGCGATAATGCCCCCCAGGGGGTGATTTCATTTTTCAGGGGGGCGGTAGAACAAAAAGGGGCGGTGTGGGGGCGCTGGAGCAGAAGAGGGCGGTTGGGGGGCACTGGAGCAAGCCAAACCTGTGAAGATGGCTGCAGCCTTTTTACAGTGTGCATGAATATATATTTTCCTCCAATTGTTATTTAGTTTCAGAGTTTTCGTCTTGAAATTTTTAGTTCCTGCATTGCAGATTGTTTTTATGCCTTTTTTATATTTCTTTTCGGGTCTTAAAATTCTCTTGCTACTAAATCATTAAATGTTACTTTTTGGGGGCATTTCATTTTCTTGGAATTGAAATTTGTTTTCAGGTGCCATTGGATTTAAATGTCATAAATAAATAAATAAATAAGAAAGAAAGAAAGAAAGATCATCACCGCAGGGAGGGGGCGATGATAACTTCCTCAATGGCTCAAGGGGGCGTTTCTTTCAAAAAGGTTAAGAGCCACTGGTATACACCACAAGTTAAGATGTATACAGTATTTGTGAAATGACTTTATTAATGAATAGGTGAAAACTTACATTCTCTTTTTCCCCTGCTAAGTAGTGCTTGGCCCATCTGCATGAATTTGTTCGCAATAGTTTCAGGACATAGATGTTCATTCTTTGAAGAATATTTAAATCCATGGGGATAGGTCTGTGGATGAGCATGCAAACTGTGCTATGATATTGTTTTCTTATTTATGGTAAAATAGTATGCTATAATTTACCTAGAAGATGACATAGTTGAGTGAAGTTGCACATGGCGTCCTGAACAAATAATCTTAGTATGGTTCTGTTTTAAATGTGTGTAAAAAGTGACAGTATATCCAAGCATATATTTTTTAGAGTTTTAAAAAGAGGGGGTAAGATATAGAAAACTATTGTCATACTAAATTTAGAATGCCTGAGAAGCTGCGTGCATATATGTGTGTGTATATATGTGTATATATGTATAAAGCAACGCGTGCTGCTTACCGTATTTTTCACTCTATAAGACACATCTTTCCATAAGACGCACCAAATTTTTAGGAGAAGAAAACAGGAAAAAAATAATCTGTTTTCTTCTCCTAAAATTTGGTGAGCCTTATGGAGAGGTCCATCTTATGGAACACACCCTAGGACACTAGGGTGTGTTCCAGGACCCTTTGGAGATTCACCCTGCCCCCTCCGGAGGCTAGAGGGGGTGAAATTGCCACCTTCTGGGGCTCTTCTGAGGCTTGGGAAGCTTCAGAAGAGCCCCAAAAGGTGGCGATTTTGCTCCCTCTGGCCCCCGGGGGAGGCAGGGTGAGTCTCCAAAGGGTCCTAGAAAACACCCTAGGACCCTTTGGAGATTCACCCTGCCCCCTCCGGAGGCTAGAGGGGGTGAAATTGCCACCTTCTGGGGCTCTTCTGAGGCTTGGGAAGCTTCAGAAGAGCCCCAGAAGGTGGTTATTTCGCCCCCTCTGGCCCCAGGGGGAGGCAGGGGGAGTCTTCAAAGGGTCCTGGAACATACCCTAGGACCCTTTGGAGATTCACCCTGCCCCCTCCGGAGGCTAGAGGGGGTGAAATTGCCACCTTCTGGGGCTCTTCTGAGGCTTGGGAAACTTCAGAAGAGCCCCAGAAGGTGGTGATTTCACCCCCTCTGGCCCCCGAGGGAGGCAGGGGGAGGCTCCAAAGGGTCCTGGAACACACCCTAGGACTCTTTGGAGACTCATGCTGCCTCCCCCTGGGGCCAGAGGGGGCGAAATAACCACCTTCTGGGGCTCTTCTGAGGCTTGGGAAGCTTCAGAAGAGCCCCAAAAGGTGGCGATTTTGCTCCCTCTGGCCCCCGGGGGAGGCAGGGTGAGTCTCCAAAGGGTCCTAGAACACATCCTAGGACCCTTTGGAGATTCACCCTGCCCCCTCCGGAGGCTAGAGGGGGTGAAATTGCCACCTTCTGGGGCTCTTCTGAGGCTTGGGAAGCTTCAGAAGAGCCCCAAAAGGTGGAAGGTCACGATTTCGCCCCCGCTGGCCCCGTGGGGAGTGGGGGGAGCTTCACAAGGGTCCTAGTGACCCTTTCGGGACCCTTGCAATGCTCCCACCACCACCACCCCACGGGGCCGGGGCGGGCAAAATCGGCAGCTTCCAGGACCTTTTCTGAGCCTTTCAAGCCTCACAAAAGGTCCTGGAAGCTGCCGATTTCGCCCCCGCTGGCCCCGTGGGGTGTGGGGGGAGTTTCGCACGGGTCCTGGAAGGCTCACTCGGACCCTTGGGAGGCTCCCCCCCACGGGGCCAGTGGGGTCGAAATCACCCCCTTTGCTCCATAAGACGC